GTGACCCACATACAACTTACGTACACTGGTAGGCAAATGTTGGAAATGTACGTGAGGGGCAATGTTTCTGTGTTACCTTGGTGTAAATATTGGCAATTTGTATTATTGTCATCCAACTTATTATGGTGTGTATTCCACCTTTTTGGCCGTGGGTATCAGTTTTAACTTAGTCTAAGATTTCGTGTTCTCGTCACTGAGCTCCATAACGAATATTTAGAAGATGATTCTTACCTGCATGGTTGTATTTTACGGCGCTTTTATGGCCTTGAATACGTGAAAACTTGGTCGCATTGACCTACGGTAAACATAATTTTATACACAACATAACATTTTGCCAAAAAATGGCACGTTCTTAATATTAATAGTACATATTAATTACAAAACAACGGGCATAATTAATCTTGTGGTTGGATATGACTGGAGATCTTCTTGACTTCGTCCCTGGCTCAGATTTGCGTCTTTTGAAAGTTCACTGACCCAAACTTGCGTCATTTGAAAGCCACACTTACGCGTCCAAAGACCTAATTTACTAACCCGTTCGTTGCCTTACAATGTATATAAACAGTTTTAGCTCGATACTGAGAATCGTCTAGATAAAACAACACGACGCAAGACACAAATTCAAACATCGATTCAAGCACGCTGAAATATGTGCTGGGTTTATTTTAAAGCGGTGCTCCAGCTTAGAATAATACTGGTACAATGTGTTCAGTATAGTACGCATCTTTCAAATTTTTCACGGATCTGGAATTAAACTTTCCTGGTTTCCACAAACGCGACATACAAAATCACCGGAATCCGTCGAGATACAATTGTAAGCCTTCATTCTGTTTTTATAAAACACTCTAAAACTAATTTGAATACGAACAATAGAAACAACTGCACGGCAATTAACGCTGAATATGCTAACGCCCTGGCACGTTACCCACTCGTTAGCGTGCGTTACAACTGCGTTAACGCAAAGCTAACATCACGTTGACTTGCGTTAACACCAGGCTAACATTTTGGTAAGCGAGTTTTGAGCTGTACTGTAGCTTGTCTGGGGCAATGCGCAGATTTGATTAGTTTTTGGTTGACATCCATCCATCCATGCATATTAATGAGCTCATCTGCATAATGTGTGAATTTTAAGCTATTTCAGTTATATCTCAAAAAGCATTAAAACGATTTTTATGTAACTTGGTAAGAATGTTACTAATGATTGGCTGCTGCAATTCATTGTTGTATTTTACATTTTAATTAAAATTTAGCATTTGTTATGTATGTTTTTATTATTTTTTTTTAAGTTTGTTATGCCCAATTGCATGAATACAACTAATAGGAATCGGTGAGTGGACTAATTTGCATAATGATGCGCATGCGTATTCTATTTTTTATGACCAGCAATTTATGGTGTCGGCCATTTTGTTATTTCCAGTGTGTTGTACAAAAACGAAGCAAGCGCTCGGGAGATGAAATGTATCAGTTTACATTATGAAAAGGTCTAAGAAATTACATGTATGATTTGTTATTATCGTATAAGTAAATAAATAAATAAGTAATTGAACAAATGTATAACCTCAATGACTGTGAAACGAATTACAGTGCAAGCT